CTGTCCAAGATGCCGGACATGCATAGAGAAGATCGATGACCGCTGCAATTACATGGTGTGCTCGGTTTGCGGATCAAACTTCTGCTGGTTGTGTGCGAGAGAGACCGGTGGAGGCCATTTCATTTTTCCTTCTGGCTGCCCGTTATGGGGCAAGAAACGCTGGTCGAAAACACAGCGGCTGTTCTGGTTAGTCGCAACCATTATAGTTTCGCCCGCTGTACTAGCGCTAGAGGTCACAGGCACAATCCTCGTCGCTCTATTCGTTTTGCCGACATTTGTGTTCATCAACAAGTTCGCCCACTTAAAGCAATCCTCAGCTCTGAAATCATCTGCAACAGCTGCTGCGGCATTTCTTGGCCAACTTGCGTTAGCGCCAGTATTCTCCGCATTGGCAGTGATGAATGAACTCGTAGGTTACTTCAAGTACGTGCTTCGATGCATCGGTGACCTGTCGAATTAGTTCGGTACTGAACCACCGAGCCTGGTCAGTTCGGTCCGTTATTGGGGCTACATCTCGGGGTCATCTTTAGTTTGTACATATTTGATAATGGGTGATACATTTTCTGTTGCTTTCATTAATTAAAGTACACAGATAGACCCTAACGTGCGTAAGAATTAAGATCCACAAATCGTTATGCAATCTGAACCTTACGCGTAAGATTTAACCTATCCCCATCCGTTAATCACATCCTATTCCTGATATGTAGCAATACTTTAAACTTACTTCTGTTAGTTTCATTTAAAGGATGCATGCATACATAAACTAAATTTTACTATGTAATTAATAATGCAAAATAACAATACGGTATAAACAGTATGAGATAAATGTCAATTTTGATAGTCGACCTTCCTAACGAAATTATCTAGAGATGACTGAACAATGGCCATCCATCTGTTCAAAAAATTTGCTAAAACTCCGTCTGTTTTTAGACTTCAAGTAACCGTGAGGCATTGCATCCATCTCTAATTGTGTAATTCCTATTGAAATCTCATAGAACGCAAATGTCATCTTTCTTTATGAAATATTTTGGTTCCTCTTTTGATTCTGAAGCTTCAACTTCAGAAACTTTTTCCGCTTTAAATCCAATCCGTTTCATCCTTCTCTGAGTCAGTCCATTTTTCGATATGTTGTGCACACCCATTTATGCGGTCGACATCGTTGAAGGTGCAAGATCAACATCACGTTCCACTGCGGTTGAACTTTGTCCATTTTCAGTATTTCTTCACGATGTAATTCTATTTTGGTGTATTTATGCATGAGTTCACTTTTTCTACATCTGTTCCTTTTTTTCAATCATGACTGTACTCTGTCGCAATGCGGGCAAACGCCACAACTTATTAAACTATATGAACACAAACACACAACATATTTCATCATTCCTTTGCGTCATCGCTTTGCTGCTTGACAGGCCAATATTCTAGAACCTATACTCTCCACCATTTGTGCAATGCCGGCTCCAAAGCTTCCTGTTATTCAGTGAAATGACCAGATGCTATTCAAGCACTGAGAAATCAGCGGAGAATAAGCTACCTAGGCTCGCAGAACATCAGAGGAACAGCGGGCGGTAAATGAGCATCTGATTGTCAGTCCGGCAAAGTAGCGCTTCTAAGGGACGCCGTTCATTGCCAAATACCAAGTCCGGAAGATTAAACGTTGACGCAGAAGACAATGAAATCCGGCATCAACGTCAAGTCAAGTTTATTACTAAGGTAGATAGAAACATCTCTGAGCAAATATCCAGAAGCCAAAGTACAAAAAATGAAGGCGATAGAATATACAAAAGAGAAAACATGTAGAGAAAACCACGGACGACAGGTTCGACTGGACCTGGACCAAGCCACTGAGCATGTTCAGATCCCTAAGAGCCAGAATTAGATGAGACTTAGTGTTTAAACGTTTCAGTTATGGTATATGTAGGGTTAAATTCTCGACGCGTTCCATTGACATTCGACTTACATCTGGACAGAGTTTCATGCAGTTAGGGTGTCACACTGTCGAGAATCTTCTTGACCAAGACCATCACGGTGTTCCTAACATCTGTCGCAACTGCCATCGCGATCCGTTGATAAGGCAGGCTAGCTGCTTTGGCAGAAAGCCTTCAAAGCTGACTTAGAACACAGTAATCGCTCACCGGCAGTGTTCTGAAGAAAACGAGTGCAGCAGACCTTACTACAGAGGCTACATATGAATGTCAAAACTGCCAACGAAGCCAGATGGGCGCAGCTGACTGCCGTGAGCTTCTAACGTAGAAGGACACATTCCGCACTTTCGACGAAATGCACAGAACGTGGTCTGACAAAATTAAGCAGACACTAATATACATACAAAGGTAAAAAATGACTTCCTCTCATCCCAGATGTAATTTTCAATCTACAGGACCAGATGTCACGTCTTGCAGAACGTTAGAGAGTGTGATGCGAGGTAATAAAATTCCCTCTGAGCACTTCCTGGTGTTCAACACCATCCAATTCAACAGTGACCAGTTCCCTACTCATTACATCTGCAAAACAGGCAGACAGGTCTGTTTTGCTTGCTACTGCCACTACCACTGCCGGGTCACCCGTATCGTTCAGACAGGTTTGAGGTAAGCCGGATTGACAGTGTGTTGTACAGATAGAAAAATGCAGAGGGGAGAGAACTGATCCTTGGGGATGGCTAGATTGTTCGCTAGCACATTCGATTGGTTTCTGAGCAGTGAACAATTGTAAGCTGGTTGAATGGTATACTGTAACCCTTCTCTCAAGGTGAGAATCACAGTCGAACTGCCTAAAAACTCCAAAAGACGGTCAAGTTGCGCCGTATTGAAAGCTGAGGAAAAATTAAGGAAAGCGCACAGCATTGTGCTCTCTCCATTGTCGAACTGCAGCGCAACATGATGAACCAAATGTAGTGTAGCCATCCGGGTTCATTGCAAACTTCCCAGGTGCTTGACATACAACTTTCGCTATCACAATGCACATGCTATAATATTGATGCAACATAACCATATGTATTGTGATATACATCACAAAAATCTCCTTTTTGGATATTTGGGCTTCCGACACAGAACCCTTCACCAGCGATACTTCTTAAAATTCTACAATAGAATCAGTTAGCGACAGAAACAACCGACCAATAAATGTTACGATATTCATCGTCACTGCTAAAGCAATTATGAATAAGCTGTCACAGTAATCACTAACATTGTGCGTTGAATAACGTTTCGCCTAAGAACTAAATGCAGCACGGCACGTCGTTCGCCAACAATGTCTGGTTAAAGGAATTTAATTGCTTGATCAATAATTACTGAAACCAACAATTTAAGAGCAACGCAAGATAAAATACAAAACACCAAAAATATAATCAAAGCAATAAATAATGCACAAAGAGTACCCGTCAGCGACGTGTCCGGTTACCTCGATACGAAAATAATCTTTCCATTTGATTGAGAGAGGGAAGTTGATGATCTTGCAAAATCTGATGCTCACTGACATAAAAAACAGAGAAAAAAATAAACAAACTAATAAACTGGATTCCGGCACAATTGTAAATCGGCGCCATATTCAATCACAAAACGATATAAATGTCTACTGCCGGTCTCAAGCCCAAGCCTGGATGAGAAAAAGGAGACTTGGAGACTTGGCGAAGTCTCCGTAAAATTTAGCCACCTGCCCTACATGGTATTGACGTATCAGGAATGTGCTATCTCACAGGTATCTGAGAAACTGCAATGACTATGGGGAAGACACAAGCAGACTGGAGAGCGTAGAGTTGTAATACCCGCGTTCAAGAAGGCATACAATACGAAGTGCTCGAATTATGGGGAGTTACCTTACTGAGTATCCCGGGAAAAGTCTACGCGAAGGTGCTAGAAAAAAGGCTTGACTCCAGGATAGAAGAGCAGTATGGCTTCGGCCCAGCCGCAGCCAATCTGACCAAATATTCGTCCTACGCCAGACTGTTGAGAAATCGTGGGAGTTCGCTCATTCAGTGCATATACGTTAGATGGACCTAAAAAAACCTATCACAGGATTCAGCGCAATAATATATGGGCATGCCTACGAACATATGGGATTGACGGCCAGTTGGTACGGACTATCCAATCACTACATGCTGATGGCAGGTGCTGCGTCAAAGTAAATGGCGTTAAGTCGAAACCATTCAACGTTCGCACTGGTCTTCGCCAAGGCCACGTCCTGTCCGCTCTCCTGTTCGTGCTGTACTTAGATAGAAGAGTCAGGAGCAGCCAAGGCGGCGAGTGTATCATTGTAGGAGATGCGGAGAAGAGAAGGTTGCTGTTTGCAGATGGCCTTGTTTTATTGGCATCTTCAGCAACTGATCTACAGCGCTCTCTGGAAAGGTTCGCAACTGAGTGCGAACGCATCTAAAACGAAATACCTAATGGTTTCTCGTTCTTCTGCCCGTTGGACTCTTCAGATTAACGGAGAGGCAGTGGAGCATGTCGAGAAGATGAGGTACCTCGGAGTCGTGTTTACAGGTGATGGAAAATTTGAGGAAGAGATCGACCGGCGGACTGTAGGAGCCAGCAGTGAACTTGCCCGAACGATTGTGAGTAAAGCAGAAGTGAGTCTGAAGACTAAGCTCTCGGTGTTGAACTCGATCTTAATCCCCATGCCTACCTGCGGTCATAAGCTGTGGACCATGACTAAAAAACTACGATCCCGGCTGAAATGGGCTTTCTGAGACTAGTGCTGGCCTTAGGCGTCTCGATTTGGTCCGCAATACAGATATTCCGCTAACTTTAGTGTACAGCCGCTGCTTCTTCAGACTGAAAAATCACAGCTGCAATAGTTTGGGTACGTGTTGCCAATGCCTCCAAAAAGGAAGGCGAAGCAACTATTTCTTGCACAACCGACTGGCAAAAGGCTCAGGGGACGGCTAAGATTAACCTGGTGCAAAAATATAAAAGGAGACTGTTCCAGACTTTAGTTGTCTTATGCTGAACCTCAGACTCTGGCACAGGATCAGGAACGTTGGAAGTACTTTCTGACGCGCCTGCCTGCGCGACCAGAAAGGAGAAGCGTTCATGGAAGATGAAAAAGTATTTACAGAACGTAGTCGCAGCTCAGCGACATGACAGTAGCAAAGATTGGAATATGACTTTTACTGCCCGTCACAAAAATTAAATTGGTTCAAGGAACGGAAAAATAATTTATCAGTTAAGTAATTTTCGCCAATTTCATAATAAACTTTAAAATGCATATCTGCAGCTGGATTTCGAACGTTTGCTTCGTCACAAAAAATCCAGGTAAGCCGGCCTTTCTCAGTGTTTCCTAGAACAGTAATGATTGTATACGTTTGAAAAAAGGCATATAAAAGAGTACATGCGAATTCGTCTAGAAAAGAAACTGAAATGCTGCTGCTTGCTCAACCGACCGGTCGACGACCCCGGGGACAGCTAAGAATGATCTGACGCAAGTATCTCAAAGACAAGTCTATATTACTCTAATCAAGCTTAC